TGAAACAACTCACCTCTTTTGAAAACAGTTTTCCTTTTTGGACCTACTGTAGCACTTTTAAACTCCTATAATCTTGGGGCTGCTTCTTGTCCCACCATTGCCTTTTAACAATTACATGTATTTGCTGAGAAGTGGCTTATCTTGAACTCATTACCTTTCTGATAGTCTGACTGTCCTCTGTTAAGCTGAGCAAATGCACTGATGGTGCATATCTCAATAACCAGGTCAACAAACAGGACTTGGATCATTACAGTGCAGCTCTGCTTCTGTCAGAGAGTCAGAGATGGTGGTTAAGATGCAATATATTTCAGAAGGCACCTGTATGTTTTTTTTTTTTTTAAAGATAACATTTTTATGCAATTAAAGTTTACGTGATGATGAGCATGTTAATTGCAGCATAGATGGCAAGGGTGCTACATACGCACCTAATTTAAGGTATCATAAAATGGCGAATGAGTCGTAACAACATTCCACATACCCATTGGCTACGACTACATTCATTCCCCTTTCCCCCACCTGTCTCACCTACTGACCACCTCAGTTTACATTTTAATTGACTGGCTTTCTTGCATAGGTACTGGCCTCTGGTTGCTTTACTACTTACTCCACCCAGGAAGAGCGCAGACCATCTGCAGATGCTTCCTCAGCCTGACAAAGGGTATTTGTACCCAAAAGCTTGCAAATAAGAATTTTTCCAATTATTTGAGTTGGTCTAATAAAAAGATATCAGATTTACCCAAAGAACCTTATCTACATATGTGTAGAACACTTTTATGGCTGGTTTGTTTGGTTCCTTAAATTTAACATGTGGCCAGGACCAGCAATCAGGTGATTTGTTGTCTTGGATCTCAGGCTGTGGAGAGCAGGAGGAGGAGCTGAAGCACTTTCTCTCTGAGGACTTTAAACCCCACACATTCCTCAACAACCCAGTCATATGGCCCCAGGTCTGGTTCAAGACATAGGCCTGTCTAGGGATCAGGGCTGATAACCTGCAGATGTCTGGGTCAGGGGTGACAGTCAGCTGGTTCCTGGACAGAAATTCGTCCCAGGCTTGTCTGGCCAGGGCCTGTAATCAGTCCTGCATACAGGGCTGGGCATCTGTCTTTCAACTTGTTAGTGTAGGGGGAGCCCAGTCTCATGATCCCAGGCCCATCCTCCACTGACTAGTAGTAATGATATGATTGGGACCTGATCCTTGATCCCAAAATCACATGTCCTGCCATGCACAAGTGGCATGGCAGGAGACACAATTATTGGGATCAGGTATGAGCTCCCACAGGGCCATTAAATGAGCATGTGCCAGGAGCCTAAGCTTGTGGTGAAAAGACTACACTGAACTCTCTACCCTTGGCAAGGCTCCAGAGCAAAAAGCAGAAAATAGGAGGAAAAGACTATTCTGATTAAGTGTCTTCACCTAACTTCTAATTTGGATATTGTCTGCCAGCTCCCTAGGGAATATCCTTGACACAAAGGCTGGGTCCTGCAAGCAGTTAATATAGTTAACCCCCCTCCCCAAACAACTTCCAAAAAACCAAAACGTTATTCTCTGTTGTAGTTCCTCTTAATTTCAAAAGGACTATGCACAAGGGTAAAGATATATACAATAGGAACTGTTTGCTGGATATGGCTCTCTGCTGTCAGAACTAGACAACTAAGGCCCCCTGCTTTTAACCAAAAAGTGAAGGCAGAATATGGCAACGTAATTTGATCAACACACTTTAAATAAAAAGGCTTTACTCCCAAAGACTTAAATAAATGTAGAGTGCTGTTATGCACAGCATATAGGAACACATGCATGTCAGCAGCTCCATTTCTTCCAAACTGATAGGATTCCCTGGCAGTATCATATCCAGTAACTTTTTTGTTTCTGTGGCACCTGGAGGACCTGCAGCCTGAATGGCATGCTGTGTACTCTTGTAGAGCTTATAAACTGAAACAGGATCCCTGACCTCTGTGACCGGTAAGTTTTTAAATTCCTGTGGAAACTTTGATTCAGGGCCTGCTGGAGCCCTTTAAAAAAATCATAGCAAATAATTTCTAAATTAACTGTAGAACTTCCTGAAGGCATTAATTCTCACCAAATACAGATCTTGTAGACTAGAATGGTTTGGGAGAGATGAGAATTCAAAATCTTTTTTAAGAATTATTTTAAAATGGCAGAATACTAATAACTTTTCAGATTTTCACCTCCCAGACCACAGCTGTCCAACCACTAAGTGGCTGGGGATCACAGCAACACAGGCACTCCCACCTTGTTGGACCATGCATGCATGCAGGTGCTCCCCCAGAACCACACCTCCCCTGCAGCTTCTTGCAGGCTCCTCTGTGCCACTGCCCCTCATAGGTTGTCCAGGCTGCCGGATCCCCTATCCTCACAGGCTACATTGTGCCACACCAACCCCATCTGGTTCTTGGGCTGGGTCAGGCAGTGGAAGTCAGGGAAGGAAGAAGGAGGTCCAAGACCCCGGTCCTGCTGTAGCCACAGCAAGGGGGCTGGGTGGGAGCCTGGGGCCTACATGTTAACTCCTCCTGGGCTGCATGCAGCCTGCAGGCTTGCAGTTGGTCAGCCCTGTCTCAGAAGATCCTTTTTTTTTTTTTTATCTTGTGGTCCCCCAAAATCTATCATATTATTATATCACAAATGAGAAAATGAAAAGGCAAAATGTTTTTTGTTATAATGAAGGTAGGTGTGTTTTAAAGGACTGAATGTAACCAAAAATGTTTTGCAATAGAAAGCAAATTTGTATTTTTAATGATGGACTAGCTGTTGTGACTGAATTTCAGACAATTAATATATTGATTATAGTGGTTTAGGCTATCTGAAATCAAAAGGGATCAACAATTGCAGAGGTGTAAATATAACTATTTAAGAATATTTATTATGTCAGTGTCGCTATTATAAGACATTTATTGATATTTTATCTGAGACTGAAAATTTAGATAATGTTTTCATCCAGATTTTGTGCACTAAAACATTATATGTTAATGACTGGGTTTTCTCTCTCTCTCATAATCACCTCACTGGTGTGTATAAATTCCACCTGTAAACCTGCAAAGTCTCCTTGAAAATGATTAGCTCTGCAAAGCATTTCAGGGTTTAACTTTCTACAGGTGTATATCAAAATTAGCCAGATTTAACTTTAGAAAATTGTATCTGGATTGGGCATGTGTTTGCTAAATCACATCATGAAGTAATTAAAAATGGCCATGCTTTAAATCTCTAACTGGGTTTTAGATGCGAACAGAGACAGACTTTTTATTGCAGTATTTTGCCATTGCCAGACACTAATACAATACATTTTCTCTCACTTTCAAACATAAAGCTAACAGGGACAGAGTTTTTAATATTTTTATGGTACTGAACAAACTCCAGCTTATGTAAATAAACGGGTGAGTCTCATCTGAAATAATATGTGTAGTAACTTGATTCCTCTGATTCATAGGCTTCGAAAAATTTACTACTTAACCAGCTGGAGAAAATCATAGTACATCTGACCATCCCTTGACTTAGTCCCTGGTGATGAGGAAGGGCCAGCATTTGTTTTTCATTCGAATCAAATGTTGCATGAGCAAAAAAGAGGAAGTGTATGCTGGTCATAGGTCAGGTGCATGATAGAGTTTACAGAGAAACTTTTCCTTCATAGTTTCTGCTGGTCTAGATTTCAAGTGTTGGCTATTACATTGCTTCCAGTTATTTTGAGGCAGGTTTTGCTTAAGTAGTGAAAATTTCAGATTTCAGTGTACCCCAGAGATTCAGCTTTGCAAGCCGTAGAAGCATCCTAATGCTGCAGAGGCTGACTTCTGGCTTTTCCAGGGCTGGAATAAGTCTTTTGTGCAGGTCCAGGTGGGAATGCGTGGGAGACTGCTTCTGGCTTTGAGTCTATCAGATGAAGCCAAAAAGAGTAGGTGGGGGAGAGAGAGAGCCTGGCAGTGTGTTGAGACAGCGCTGCAGGTTTGTGGTGAATGGTTCTGCTGTTCCATGATTGCTGTCTTGCTCTGAGGGGGGGACACATACAACCAAATTATGCAAATATGAGTGCAATATCCTACATTTGCTTAAAGTGTGTTTTGTTGGCAAAATTATTATTTACCCAGGATATGTACTAATTAATTTACTCTGTTTACTGTTGCACTGAGCACTTGTTGCTTATAGTTGGAAGAAAATTGATGAATGAGTTTATCGACATAAGCTTTTAGTCCTTTTTATTTAGCCTCTTGGGTTGTTGCTTTTGCAGTGATAATAACTGAACTATGAACAGTGATGTTTGGATATTTCAGTATCTTAGATTGACAGGAATTTGAAAACAATAGGCATGAACCAGCCTCACAGTGCCTACCAGCCAAGACTAAATTTGCATTTACAGCCTCTCTCTTTATATAAGTACAACTGTTATTCATTAGACTGCTGTACTTTTCTTTCTCGCTACCACTAAACTTCAGGCTAATTACTCCTACCCCTTCCAACAGCTACAGTGTTTTGAAGAGCGGACCTTGTGACTTACGAAGTCGGTCTAAATTTAAATTGGATGTTTCATACCACAAGTTCAAACCACCACAAGTAACATTACAGCATAGGAGAGACTTGGAATATGAGAGGGAAAACTCCTCAGTCTCTTAATTGTGTATCACTTGAGTTTAAAAAACAGCCCTAGTTTGTGTTTAGGATACATTTTGCATTTAAAAGATATAAAGGAAATCCAGTGTGAATCATGAAGCCATAAAAATAGTCATCTAAGCCAAAACTGAGTCTTTGGTGTTCAAACCGCGTACAGGTAGTTCAGTCAATATCTAGTAAGTACAGTGAGGACTGTTTTTATTCTCTTGTTGCTTCACCTTTATTGTAACCACTTTATTTGTCATGAATGTTTTGAGAGGCAAGGTAATTTTTAGTCTGACGTATTATAAGAGATTGTACTGTATAAAATGTGTCCTTTAATGTGCCTAGCCCCCTTTTTGTATTTGTATGTGCACATACTAACTTGTATTTTTGTGCTTACTAGGAATAGGAGGCTTGCATGAATTTGTGCTGAAGTCAGCAACATTATCTACATCGCCAGCTTGCCCTCCATTTACACCTCTCAATTTTGAAGCTACACCAATTGTCCGTGTTGCTATTGAACCAAAACACCCAAGTAAGCGTTTAATTTTTTTTGTTTTATAAAAAATTCACTTGCAAAACAATGGCCCGTATCTGAAACTTTAATATGGTTGTCTTTGAGCATTTACTTTTTCCCTAAGCAGATAGGAGGTACATAATGTTTTCCCTTATAAATGTACTCTTCCTCATGGAGCTTAATACAACAGAAGGCTGTAATAGTGAGATACATTTATGAAAAATTCTGAAATAAATGATAAAAGCAATCATATGCATAATATTGCATGCACACTGCCAGAAATTTTTGTTGGAGGCGAGATTTTCCCTTTAGCTCCCAAATTTATTTCTGAATAATGAATTATTTTCCTTTAGAATTGCCTTGGGGTGCAATCTTATACATTTTTTTAAATTCCAAGGGGAAAATGCCCTTTCCAGAACAGGTTTTTGTCCCATTAACTTCTCACCTGTTAATATTTCCTGGATCTTGTTCCCTTAATCGCACTTATATTTTTTACAATTTTCAAAATGTCATTATAACTTGAAGACATAAGCTTTTTTTTTTAAATAGCATTATTAACCATGCTTGTGGGATCTTAACATGGAATGCAAGTCAAATTCCAGCTCTTTATATGGAATCAGAAGAAAATGAAAATAGTTGTATAAGGTTACTGTCTGATACATGTGTAGTTCTTTTGTCTGTTATACCTGGATATGGGAAATTCAAACCCCATTGGTACCAGGATACATATTGCAGCTTTTGGGGAAAAATATAATTAGGAAGGGTTGTAGACAAATACTCCAATAAAGCTAGGCTGAAACTCGGTGAGAAAAGGTAGAAACTGAAAATACTGGAGAACTGACTAAAACCATGGTGTTTTTTTACATAGGTTTCCTCCTGTGTTCATGTATTGGAAATGTGAACGCACAAACAGAACAATATGCTTTACATTGGGTTCACAAATATTTTGTGCACTATTTTTTAATATTGTCTGATGAACTTTTTAATTGGTGAAGTATTTGTGTGAACTTAGTCTTAGTTTTTAAGGTGGAGTGGGGTGGGAAATATTTCTAATTGCAGTGCAGAAAAGTTTCAGAGATAAGTACTCTGACAAAAAAACACAGAAGTCAGTCATTGAATCACAAAGGGACTTAAGTGTGTTATTACAGGGAAATAAAGGAGAATAATCCGTTTGACTTTTCTCCCTGTCTTCCTTTAATACTCTCATGTGCTTATTGTGATTCAGACTTACTACCCCAGACATTCAGCTGCACTACTAAATATAATTCCTTTCTTTTTAATGCCTCTGAGATTAATGTTCTTCCCTTTGTTCCACAGACCTAAAGCTGACAATGTTAACTTTGATAGTGCCTTTCTTTAGGCGTAGCATATTTGGATTCAGTCCTGGACTCTATTAACATTTATTTCACAGATATCTACAAGGATGAGGTTAAAAATCTTCCATAACAGGGGTTCTAAATACACAGTGCCTTATGTGGCTATTTTAGAGAAAACTTTCAATAAAGGAGACTAGAAAATGTACTGGAAAGCCAGACACACTTAAGGTCTCATCATCCTGATTTACTTGTCATTATCATTGCCTGATCTATCTTTCCTTTCACTCAGCTCTTAGGAAGGCTGAGAGCAGATCTTTTGTCATTACCAGAAAAGTGTTTTCCTGGAGGTCTTTTTGTACTTGCAAAACTTCAAGGCTTGCTCACTGAGGTACACTTTCTCCTTCACATGTGGACTTCAGTTTACAATATCAGGGCAGCTTCAAAACCAAGTTTAATAAATGCATTTCCCACAGAGTAATAACATTTAGTGAATATAGTTTATTTTACTTTTAAGCTGCTGTTAATGTTCAAATTAGAAATTAGCTATTGTATTCTGAGCAAAAGCATAAAAACACAGTTTGCCATAGAATGCATTATATAATAGCAGGATCATCCAGTGACACTCCTTTGCTGCTACTAAAATCCAATAACACCAGGGTCATTTATAAATGGGAGATATACATTGTCAGATCCTTTGCAAGTTTACATATTCATATATATTGAGGAGGCATTGTAAATGCAAAATTGTTGTAAAGGGAGGGGAGGGAGAAGAGTAAAACATTTGATAAGTGTGATTTTTGGGGGGGAACTCCATTTAACAGATGGCTTATGGCTTTTAAATCAAATCAATAATTAATAACAGAATATCGAATGTATGGAAGTAATGAGAGAGATTCAGTCCTGTGGCATCACAGCTGTCCATCCCCAAAGATTTGAGAATAGGTTATTGAGAGTAGGTTTAATTTGTGGCCATGGCAGCACTATCAGTAAAGACTGGTTTGGGGTGTACTGAATCGGCATTATCTCTTAGATGGCCTGACCTCCCTCTTTTGTGAATTGTTCCAGCCAGTAAGCTCTGATCCCACAAAACGTGAGAGTTGTGGATGACTTAATTTTTGTCACCCTGTTACTGATGCTGTCCATGGCATTCCTCAGCCAGGGACCATCTTGACCAGATTTTACTTCCCTTACTTTATTTTCAGATACCTTCTGTTTCTTTTGAATTTTCTGTTTTTTGTTTTAATGCTTCATTGCTTATTTGTCTTGTTTTTTGTAGTATATCATTGTGGTATTGATACAGATTTACAACCTCATTTTCAACTGATTGTTTTGGGGTTTTTTTTCCTGTTTTTAGCTAGAGACTGCTTTTCTTATTGAATCTTACTACATTTGAATTTTAGTCCAGATCCATTGGTTGTTGCAAGGCTGTCTTTCTGCTCAGGTACAGACTGTTCTCTAGCACTGAGATGACATGTTCTGAAGACTAGGGTTGGACTATGTTTCTGGTCATTACACCACTGACCCTTGGATGAAAACAGACCAGAGCTGCCTGCACTCTCCAGCCACCTTAGGCAGGCAGTCCCAGTGCTTCAGAGGCCCAATCCTGTGAGCCCCAGGAATTTCCATTCATGGGGCACACAGGAATCGACCCCTGAAACCCTGGGAACACATGCCTGAGTTCCCCCATTTGGGAATCCCTGGCTGCCTGTCAACACTGCAGTGCAGCCCTGTCCTGGGGCTGGGACTGCCAATCTGTTGTTCATTTGATTCATGGTCCCAGCCTCGAGACCGCACCTGAACCCACTTTCCCCACTTAGAGACATACTCTGGAGATTCTCCTGGATGTGTCTGTGTAAGACAGGAAAACCAGGCAGGTGCTGTCAGGACTTCAATGGCCCCATCCTGCACAGGAAGTCCCAAAGCATGCAAGACAAGCTCCTCAAGCCCCAGGGGAACATGTCGCCTGTTGTCTTGCAAGCTCAATGGGCATCATGTGTTTTGGTCAATGAGGTGGATCAGCTGCTGGGACACATTCTGGCAGCGCTAATCCGCTTCATCTGGCAATGTCTGTTTCTAGTCGTACCGGGTGCTGACAGATGTGGAAAAAAGAAAACCCAGAGCTTTACTGGAAGACCTGGCTCTGCAGCATCTGTGTAAACTGGGCACTTAAGCTGGGTTTTTTGGTGCTTTTATCTAATAAGTATTTGAATCCGCTATTGCAGGGGTTGTCAACTGGGGGTATGGGTACCCCTGGGGGTTCTTGGGACAGCCCCAGGGGATATGCGTGGTGGCTGCATGGAGTGGTGAACGGCGGTGGCAGTGGCATACGAGCTCCCTGTCCCCTGCTGCTGTCATTCACCACTCTGCGCTGCCAGCTTCACATCTGGCCAGCCATCAGCACCCCCCACCCATCTGGAGGGGGGTACACTCCTGAAGGGATACACACCAGATGGGATACACGCCTTAAAAAAAGGTTGAAAACCCCTGAGCTATTAGATAAAAGTGCCACAAAGCCCCACTAAAGCACCTGACCTATACAGATGTTGAATGAGCTGGGTCCAGCCAATGTGATGCCTCTTGTGGGCACGTGCTATGCTCATTGTGGGAACGCACCAAGCGTGAAGTAAAGCAGTTTGTTTTTTATATCCACATCTGTAAGTAGCCTATGCAGATGTTAGAGGAAGGGAGAAGCACATCTTTATGCATCCTGCAGTTCATCAAGTCATGTTCATTTGAAAATTTCTGAATCCCTTGAATCTACAGATAGCTCCATGGTTATTCCACATGTGTTTAAAAAACCTTAAAAATATATCTATGTGAAACTTTTGCTTAGTTAGAAACAATGAATCATTCTAGCTCTCTAGTTTGTGTTTTTAGTCTGAAGAAATTTGGGTCAAATGTAGTAATGCTTTATTTACCAAAGGGATGCTTTTAGAAATACATTTGCCTTTGATGTACATTGAATGGCATTTGTTTTGTAATACTAAATATAATTATTGATAGGTATCTGTGAATGTTTTTCACTGAGTGCATGCCCCTTCCAGTTTCAGAGTCAAAATCTTTGTATAGTGTTTTCATAAACTCTGAAGTAAGCCAACTTGGTTAAGCTGCCCTGAGCCTTTGTACAGAAGGGTGTCATGTAGATTGAATTATAAAAAAAGATAAATAATCTCATTTTGAGGGTCTAACTGCTGAAGACAGCTGCTGAACAGTGTCCTATAATCTTAGGTCATATGGCCAGAAGAGACTCTTTTCTCCTTTTTGTTTGTTTTTGCAATGTATCTGGTTTCCCAGCTTTTTTCCATTGAATACTTATAAGCTTAACATAAATGAGTAAAATAAGATTAATTTTAATAGCCTTTATGAGTGGAAATATTATGGTGTTACTTCCTTCTGAATACAAACATTCAATTCTGGATAGCTAGTGAGAATTTTATGCTTGTATGCAAAGAAAACAAAAGGAAAATCATTTTTAAATTGTTAATGAAATTTGAAAGCAGTGACATATGAAATACTGATTTTTCTTAAATCTCCACAAAGCTTCAGTATAAACCTGCCATATCTCATTTAGCCAGAGGGTGATATTTTAATTTTCGATTATTTTAAGGCAATTCTGTTTATTTAAATTGCTGTGCTTTATTGAATTTTATTCCCTTCCAAAAGTGTTTTTGGAAAATTTCCTTTTGGGTATTGGGAATATTTGTATCTCTTTGGGTCCTTTAATGGCAGCACAGGGAAGGTTTACAAGCAATTTGTATGTCATTTTTCACATGCATGTGCAGTAGAAATAAAACAAACTAATAGACAATTTAACCACTTCTATTTCAACACAACAATGAATTTGTTTAGCAGTGTGAGCATTTCTTATAACAGTTAGTCCATATAAGGGGCTGTGTCCTGAGGTTATAACTCAATGCTTAGACATTGGAAAGTTGCCCAGGTAAGGGTGTCAGGGCCTGGCTTGGGTTATTTGATTGCTCCCAAATGGCATCAGTAGTTCTGTCATAAAAATGACTTAATATTTCTCTCCTTAGACCAAAAGTATCCTGGTTAACATTTTTTTTCTTCTCCAGTGGTCTTTTATTAAAGAAGTTTTTTTCCTTTCTAGGTGAGATGCCTCAGTTGGTCAGAGGAATGAAGCTTTTAAACCAAGCTGATCCTTGTGTTCAAGTTTTAATCCAGGAGACAGGAGAGCATGTGCTAGTGACAGCAGGAGAAGTCCATCTTCAGCGCTGCTTGGATGACCTGAAAGAAAGGTTAGGGAGCAGCAGGGAAGAAATATTTCAGGTTCACTAGCTTTGTGTAGAATTTCTTCATTGTATCAACCTATAACTATGATTTATTTCCTGGTAAGGCTAAGGCCTTCTCAAACAAGACTTCTGTCTTGCTACTGGATCATAGATATAAACTGGAATAGCTATACAGTTATCTGCAGCTGGCAAATGCCACTGACTTCCTAATTGTATATGGCTTAAACACCTTTTTGGCGAGCTATTTTTTTTATAGAAGTCATAAACTGAGGTAGTTTCAGGGTGTTATTTAGAATTGTAACATACATTTCATACCCTTCTTCTGCCCTCCCATGCTCCCCTGCCTTCCCCTGAAGTCTTCCCCCCTTATATACTTATAGACTGCCACCAAGTCCCCCCTGAGCCTTCTCTTC